CTTGTTTGAAGAGTTTCTCAGAATATATCTATAAATAGATTGAAAACTAATAATTGTTTCAATTTTAATCAATGTTTCAAATAAATTCTGCACCATTATATAATAACATAACATTGAATTCTGATTTCATAAATTCAATTTCATACATTAATTTTATTGTATAATAAAATAAATATTTTCATTTTACTACGTTAACAATTATATTTATAATGTTTTATACTGTCAGTTACATAATTCAGAGATAAAAAGATTTATTTTATTTAAGTAAAAGTATTACAAAATTAGACATTGTATATTGCAGTTGTAGAGCTTTTAGTTAACTACATTTTATAATACAAATTAAAAGAAACATTAAATTAATTTGTAAATCTATATTAAAACTATAGTAAATCTCATATATAATAAAATTACTTGTAATACTGTACATTATAACATTAGCTTAATCATTTAGATTAAATAAGTAATAAAGATCTTGAAAGTTTTTAAAAATATTGAATATACAGTAACTTTGAATTATAAAAAATAAATTACCAAAATTTAATTTGAATTTTTAATTTGAAATATTCTGAAAACATTATTTATATTAACATTGAAAAGTGAAAACAACAATATTATACAGTACATCTAAAACACTTTTATAAATGATTTATTTGGTTAAGTGAGGGATCGATGTCTAATATTATGCTATAATTGTCATATAATTTCTTAACTGATTTAATTCAAATCAAAATATTACTAAAATATTTGTCATTAAATATAAATACTGATAAGACTTTCAAATGGCATTCAATAAGTAGATACTGTAATACAAATTACATTGAAAATATTGAACACATACTGTATAACACTGTTGTTAATTTAAATCACATTTCTTAATATTTACAAAATTGATTAATTTTAGTCAAATGAATAATAATCTGTATTATTTATCTGAATTATCTTGATCACTTGCAAATTAGAATAAATGAATGCATACTGAAATTATAAACATGTCTTTAATATCAGTTTCACATTTAAAATTTTAAATATTTTTAACAATTTGTAATTAATAATATTATTCACAATTAAAATTATAAATTAAATGAATCAATGAATCAATGAATTGATTAGTTTAGAGAAGTTTGCAAACAATTAGTGAATGAATTGTGGGATAAATGAAAGGAAAGGATTGACAGACAGATAGAGACATCTGTTTCATAGAAATGGAAACAAACTCTTTTCATATAATCACAAAAACAATGAATACTTTTGAATAGATTTGAGTGAAAGTGAAGTCATTGTAAATCCAATTGACATTCACTTGAATTGAACTGTCATTTGGTGGCATTCATTGGATCCGTTGATTGCATTGACTGCATGTGAGTGGTCTCAAGAGTAGTGGTGTTGAGGCCATGGATGTGTCAATTGAGACAATCGAGCGATTGGTGCACGAGTTGTACCACAACAGCAACCAATTGTCTCAATCGTCAGCCAATCAGTACCTGACATGTCTTCAGGTGTCCACTCAGGCCTGGGATGTGGTGTCGGCGCTCCTCAACCCCAACAAACCACTTGAGGTGCAGTACTTCGGCGCCTCCACCCTCTACACCAAAGTGACCAAATGTTACCATGAATTGGATCCACAAAAGCAATTGGATCTGAAGAACGAGTTGATCCAACTCTTGGTGTCTTACCTATCACTGGATGGCATGAGAATAGTTGAGACCCGGATTGTGGTGTCTTTGGCGGCGTATGTGATCCACTCCGTGGCCAACAACTGGGAGAATGCGATCACCGATTTGGTCAATGTTTTACAGCCAAACAAATTGTCTCACATTCCCGTCAACCGAGTCCTCCAGACACTGATGGACCTGTTGTCGGCCATTCCCGAAGAGTTTCAAACCATTTATATGACACAACACCAGAAAATAGTGATCAGAAGTGCTTTACTGAAGTTCAACGAACAGATCTTCTCGATTGTGTTGACTCTGTTGTCTGAACCACAACTGCCCGAAGAGATCAAACTGTCGACCATTAAGTGTTTCTCGAATTGGTCCCAAAATACCGGTCCTCTCATTATTGGTGACAATCACTCAGACATTGTTTTATTAGTGTTGCGGTCTGTTTGCGACGATAATCTGAGTCAGACGGCAGTGGAGGCCATAACTAACATCTATTCGCACCCAGAGATGCATAAGCAGCCAAACCTTGTCTTAAGACTAATCGACCAAATGGTTGGATTAGAGCCGACACTCAATAAAGCCATACAAGAGTCCAATCCAGAGATGGCTAACAATATATACACACTTTTCATTCAAGTCACTGAAACCCATTCAAGACTTGTATTGAATGCACTGATCGACACACCCGAGAGTCGGGACAATATTCTTAAGGCCATTGCAGTCATACTTCAGTGCAGTTCAACACCTGGTTATCACTCAATTGATGAGACCTGTAGTGAACAGGCATTCAATTTCTGGTACACTCTTCAAGACGACATCATAGCCTCAGATGAATCTCGGATTGAAACTTATTTAGCCATTTTTAACCCATTATTTCACTCATTAATCGATGCATTTCTGGTTAAAGTCCAGTACCCGTCCGATGATGTCTATGAGAACGAGTGGAACAGTTATGATAGGGAAAGCTTCCGGTGCTATCGACAAGATATCGGCGACTCATTCATGTACTGCTATAATATATTAAGAGTTTCAATGCTTTCGAGTCTTTTATCACATTTCCAATTGGCTGCCAATCAACTGACCGCAAGAGTGAGTACGGATCAGCACAAGTCGTGGCAATATCTGGAAGCAGTTCTTCACGCGTTTAGCTCCATAGCCGAGAACGTAGGCCACTCTGAAACGGCTTATTTGCAGCAACTCTTCAGTTCTCTACCAAATATTCCCTTCAATTATGTCTCATCGCCGCGACTGTTGGCCACAGCCATGGAAACATTGGCCGCTTATGCCGAATGGATTTCCAACAACTCATCCTATTTACCAAATGTCTTATCACTTCTTATGATTGGTCTCAAAGCTCATGAGTATGTTGTCGTCTCGGCAACGATGGCTCTCAAAGATATCACCCGTGAATGTCAACTCATTTTGAAACCTTTCGCTCAACAAATACTTTCCATTTGTGATCAGTCTTTGGGTCCGGAATCACATCTTAAGCCTAAAGATAAATCAAGAATAATGTGTTCGATTGGTCTGACTTTGTCTGTACTTCCCATCGAAGATATAATGATTGCAATCAACAAACTCTTGACACCAATTATCACTGATATTCATAATGTCTTAAACCAATGCGAACGCGAATCGTCTAATATAGACAACGAGACGGTGCGGACACACGTGTCGAGCCAACTGTCAATGTTAGCGATGCTCTTCTCAACACTTGATGTGAACGTCAAGAGGAATGACTCGGAAGACGAATCGCAAATGGTGTCCAACAGTAAAGCTTACAATTCAAGTCCGCAACCCATTTATATAATTCTGGAACAGGTATTCAATTTACATTTTGTGTTTAATAGAAATTCTGATAACACGGCTTTCCATAGGTTTTGCCCATTTTTAATAGTATTGGCACCAAATGGCCAACAGATGAGACAATTACTGAAAGTCTCTGTGAATGCATCAAGAAGTCAGTGATAACACTATTGGATGAAATCAAACCACTCGTCGGAAAGATTCTGGAATTGTTGTTATATTTGTTCAAAACTTCTGGTCAGACATCGGTTCTGGAGATCTCTAAGCAATTGATTGTTCTCTTCGGAAAAGACTTGGATTTGCAAAACGATTTGAATAAATATTTCGTTGAAATATGTAATCATACGATGAGTTGTTGTCAAACAGATCTCCGACAACAGACATCGCTTCTGGAAGTGTTTTATTCTGTTTTAGCAAATGTAGTGAAAAGAGTTCCGCTATTATTCAGCAGTACATCGCTAGACGTGTCCACACTATTCCGGTGCGCAATGTCTGCACTGCTGTTACCCGAGAAGCCAACCGTCCGCTACAGCTCTGCATTCATCAGCGAATTCGTGATCCTTAGCCGTGAAGTGGAGGCCATGAATAAAGTGGTGAACGAAGAGATCGAGAATCTCTTGGGACAGGTGTTTGTGGTGATTGGAGGCACGTATGACTCGCCCCGTTGTGTCGTCGAACACATGGCTGACATCCTGATGGCTCTCAACTGGAAGTACTTCGACAATCTCTCGCGTTCTATCAATAGTTTGGTCCAAAAGGAAGGCTTTCCCACAAATCATGTCAATTACGAGAAGAAAAGCCATTTCGTGAGACTTATTCTCACACAACGTAAGAACAAACGCAAACTCAAGGAAGTGATCAATGAGTTCAGTCTCACCTGCAGAGGACTTATTGGCAATGAATACAGCAATCAAATGATTAAACTTCCCTTTTAGTGCCGGAGGTAGTCCTTCCCACGAGTCAACAATCGTATTGTCGCACCGGTCGCACAATATTGTTGTTTTCACATCCTTTACTAATTTAGTTCATATACCGGTACTAATCACATGGCTTTCAATGGCTTTTAACACAATGTGGCCCAAAGTGTGTACTTTTGATAACATAAGTGATTATTTTGAAAACAAAAACATTGATATATTTTGATAATATTGATGAGTTATCAATATAAACTTATGATTTAATTTTATTATAACTTGTATACGAAATGTAACATATATTCTAAAATTATGATTTTTTAACAATAAATACTATTTTGGTTTTTGTTTTCACAATTTGTTATATTAATGAATGCCTTCGATTAACCAATTGTTAACCATTAATAATATAATAAAAATATTTAATAAAATTAACATTTATTTATGAATTTCGTTGAGTTGTTGGATAAATACTGTATAACAAAAATATTTTTAAAACTTTAAACATTTGGTGTGTTTCCAGAGGACTAGTACAGTATTACAAGAATTTTGAATAGAAATTAACAAAATCGACACAAATAAAAATATATTTAAAACGCTCTAACTTTTTAAATGGTATTTCAATAATTGATTCGACTTTTAAATAACAAAATTGAGTAAAATATTGAAAAACATTTAAATTATACCC